AATGAACCAGTATGCCCTTGCGCAGATGCTTTTGGTCATTGATGAATTTGTAGGTGCATGACTGATCCTATATAGGTCACTCCTCCTTCCCTGGAAGGAGCCAGTTGCAAAGAAGTGTCTGGGAAAGAATGGCCCCTCTTGGTCCTTCAGGTCTCAGGTCCCGATCCAACAGCTGGAACAGTTTTGTTACAATGCCCAAGGACATACAGAGCCTTTGACAAGACTGTGCCTTGACAATTCTAAGAAAATGGATTCGAGGGTAAAAGCCACAGGCCTTCATGTGGAGCCAATTCACGATGCTGGAGATCTTAGGAAGAGGCTGAGATAGATTGTCCACTTCTTGCTGGAGATGTTTTTAAATGCCTTGTCTTCTGCACTGATATACAGACTCCCCCATTAATATGGATGGGGAAATTTGTGGAGGTGCCTCCTCCAGAAAGTTGTTTAATTGTCCACTTTTGGTATGGCTTGAGGAGTAGTGGGGCTTCATTACCAAAGCATTCTTCCCATTAGGTTCACCATTTAAACACAGCACGCTGTAATAATATAGATAGTGACAGTCAGTCTGAGACCATTATGGAGAGACTTAAAAGCACTCATGTAACCTGTAGAATTTGCAGCAATGCATAAATATTTTCTAACCTGCTAAGAGATGCTCATATTGGTTTCTGCCAGAGCCACTCAGCTTCTGACTTCATTGCAGCCATGGTCCAAACATGGATAAAAGAGCTGAACTCCAGAGGGGAGATGAGTATGACTGCCCTTAACATCAAGGCAGCACTTGACAGAGTGTGATATCAAGGCAGCTGAGCAATACTAGAATCAATGGAATACTGCCCACTGGTTGGCACAAATGAAGTTCGATGTGGTTGTTTAAGGTTAATCATCTCTGTTCCAGGACATCTCTACAGGAAATCCTCAGGGTGGATATTTTCTAATCAACCTATTCAGAGTTGTTAGGATATACCTCAGTAGCAGGATGGACTTGAACACAGGAAAATTTTGCGAGTTAGAAATATTTTGAGTGATTTTTTTATTTAAGAAAAAGGCTTTACGCGAGCATTTTTGTTTAATCTTACTCAACTAATCCCTGGCCAGAACGTGTAATGCAAAAAGGAACTGCAAGTCCTGCAAAATGTGAAAGAAAAGCATTAAACGCTGCATGTGAATGGCAAACTGAGCAGCATCCAAATGGAACATTTTGGCATAAGTGTTAAACTGAAGTCATTAGGAAAGATAATGGATTATTGTTATTTATCATGAGAGGAATTGAATACAAAAGTAGAAAGATTTATATTTCAGTTATACAGGGCTTTGGTAAGACCACATCTGGATTACTGTACACAGTACTGGTCACCTTATTTAAGGAAAGATGCAAATGATTTGGATGCAGTTCAGAGAAGATTTACTAGACTAATACCTGGAACAGGTGGGTTGTATTGTGAGGAAAGGTTGGACAGCCGATGCTCGTATCCTCTGGAGTTCAGAAGAGTAAGAGGTGACTTGGTAGAAACGTAGAAAATGCAGAGAATGACATTTGTACATGTGAAGAGGATGTTTCCTGTTATGGGAGAATTCAGAACTAGAAGTCATTGTTTAAAACATCGGAGATAATTAGTCATTTAAAACTGAGATCACGCATTATTTTTCTGAGGTTTGAGTCTTCGGAACACTCTCCCTGAAATTATGGAAAGAGTTCTTGAATCTTTTAAGGCAGAGGTGGATAGATTCTTGCTAAGCAAGAGCTTGACAGGTTAGCAGGGTAGGTGAGAATGTGGATTTGAGGTCACAATCAGAACAGCCATGATCTGATTGAATGGCAGAGCAGGCTCAAGGGCCCAAGTGACCTACTCTTACTCCTGCTCCTGATTCTTATGCTTGTATGTTGGTGTGGTGCAATGATTCCTATCCTATCCCACTTCTTCTTTACTGTTCATAACAAAATTTAAATTAATAAAGGGGAGTGATGTTGCTAATTATATGGCTATTGGACTGAATTTAGTTCAACATCAGATTTAAGCCAGCCAGATTGCTTCAGTTAGTCAATATTAACTAGTTCATTACAAACAAACTTTACTCAAGCAAAGATAATCAGATCAGGCATAATCTCATTGAATGGTGGAATGAACCTTTTGGGCTGACTGGCCTACCTCTGTTCCTGTGTCTTATAGTCTTATCAAAGTTTAGACTGTATAACTATGTACATAACTACAGTGAGAGTTAAACACAGGAGAAAAGGATTGTTCATGGGTCATCTAAAATGCTGATATTTGGCTGGTGTCAATTTGCAGAGACCAGCAGTTTCCACAAATCTGACTTCCTGGATCAGGATTGGTCATGGCTAGATGGATTCTCTTTTCTGGAAACAGTGTGGTAGATTGCAAAATCATTTTTGGGAACCTTCCATGAGTGTGTAGAGGCCCTTCTAGTTGGTTTACAGCCCATACGCTTTGCCGTCTCTCCAGAACTTCTCTCAAAGTGCTGTTGCTCCTCAGGTAAGTTGTCTCAGATTCTCTGCTGTGCTCAATATTACACCCACAAACTGGGTTATGTTTGCTCTTCAGTATTGTAGATTAGCTATCTCCAGCCAAACAGTCTTCCTTGCTAATTCAACATTGTTCCTTTTGTAACCAGTGTCCTTTACTAAGTGTGTATATATAGTGTGCCTGTTACAAATTATTATTTGGATACATTCATGAGTTAAACCAGAACTTTTAAACTGTACTGTTTCCCTAGAATCTGCAGATATGTTTGTTATAAATTTACAAAGTTTTAGTGCACCTTCTTGTGGTAGTCAGCTGATATAAACTTTTTTATGAACCTACTTTTCTGAAATTGCTGTACAGTGTTGGAATGTTTGTGCTTAATCATTTATTTGTAGTTTGTTTGTTATGATCAAATAATCAAATCATATTAATCAGTGATCTAATTATATTAATTGCAATCAAGAGAAAATCTTTACCATGTTATTGAACTTCCTTGACAAGTGAAATATGCCATATGGCCCTAGGCTTGTGCAAAGCTTTGCTTGCTTAATGTATTTGGCTCTTGTTGCTGCAGAGTCTGTTTAGATTGACTAGATCTGTGTTTAGGACCAATATACTCCCTAATAATTAACACTCATAAGTGTACTCGTTACCTAAGACTCAAAGCTGTATTACATGAAGAGAATTGCTGCGATGCTTCAATCTTTCAGGACTAAGTTCTAAATTTAGTTTATTATTATAACTTATGGTGGCTTAAATAGAAGCAGTCATGGCTGTTCAAATTATATAACAAGCCTATATTCACTCTGGCTCGGTAAACATTAAGTTCTGTTACCAGTTTATGTGGCTATGTTGTTCTTTTGACTCATTTTCTAAGAACATGTATCAATTTAAAGTGTCCATGCTGTATTTTATAAGTGTACCTTACTACTTCAGACAGTATATACACAGGAAATGACTGAGGAGTCTAGTTCCAGGAGTCACAGTTTAAGGATATGGGAAGGCCATTTAGGACTGAGACGAGGCGAATAGTAAGTCTGTGAAATCCTCTGCCACAGAAAGCAGTTGAGGCCAAAGTATTGACTATTTAAGAGAGTTATAGTTCTTAGTGTTAGTGCTAAAGAGATCAAATGATTTGGGGAGAAAGCAGGAACAGGGTACTGAATTGGATGAACAGCCATGATTACTTTGAATGGTAGAGCAGGCTTGAAGGGCCACTTTGTACATTTTTATTACTTTTTCTAAGTTAACTTGAGTCAAGCACCTATTGAGCTCGACAGTAATGAACAGTTCTCTCACCCAAAACACACTGATAAGCACCTGTCTGAATGAGAGTTCTACAGGACAGGCAATAATGATACCTATGCATCAATTAGGCATTTGAGACAATGAGGCTCGAAGTTAATCATTAGTTTCTGACACCACATGCTCTCAAATAAGTGGACACAGAATTACTTTCAAGTGCCCCATTATCTCAAAAGAAAGCCAATGAAGTGCAAATTACAGAAAAAGCAATAACGAGAAGAACTGTCATACAGATAATTGACTCACCAGTCACAAGATAACAGGAAGTTAGGACATTAGAAGATGACTGTCACCATATGAAAACCATCAGAGACTGATCATGTGCTTACAGAACCAGAGTTCATGAACATCACATAGGCTGTATCTCAAAGGGCTGTTAAGCTCCAGTTGCTTGCAGCAAGGCACGTGGAGTGGGAAGATGAATTCAAAATGTTGTTGAAAAGAGAGACAGTGTGCCTTCTGCCAACAGACATAGAAGAAAGATGCAACCCATGTGTCAACAGCACTGAAGGTTTAATTAGGAGACAAGACCGGTGTTGGCTGAGGATGGTGTCTACCTTTGTTAGGTGATACATTGCATTACTCAATAACCATTTGTAAATTATGTCTTTGGACTTCTCTAATGCCTGAAGAGTTAAAGTCTCAAAAGCACAAATAACTTCAGTGGGTGCAGACAGTGAGTTCAAAATGTGCCACAGACATCATAGAATCCAACAGTGTGGAAATAGGCCATTCAGCCCAATGAGTCCACACCAACCTAACGAAGATCCATCCCTATCCCCCACCCTATCCTTGTAACACTGCAGCTCCCATGGCTAACACACCTAACTTGCACATCCCTGAACAATATAGGTGGATTAGCCATGCTAAATCATCTAACTTGCAATTCTTTGGACTGTGGGAGGAAACTAGAGCACCCAGAAGAAACCCACACAGACAGTTGCCCGAGGGGAATTGAACCTGGGTCCCTGGCACTGTGAGGCAGCAGTACTAACCAGTGTGCCACCTGCAACAGTGCTAGTATACTATTGGTTTTCTAAAAGGATATCTGCACAAAAGATGTTTGTGTTGGAGGCAATGCTTCATATTCTTCACTATGTTGCAGGGACCTAAAACAACATATTGTTTAGTAGTTAATGAATATTGGCTGTTGAGAGTTTATATATAAGAGAATAAAGCAAAATAAAGACAAGTACTCTCAAGCAAATATTAGAAGCAATGAAGACTTTTATGTCACAAGGAATTGTTTTACAAATGCTGTTTTTAAAGATATAGAAATGATGTTGTGAAATTGCAAGGTTTAAAACAGAGCTGGATAATCTGTTACAGGAATAGATAAAGTATAATATCTATTTAAAAATATTTAAATCTGGAGTTATTCATTCCTCCTTAATGGTAACAATTATATAGTCACTGTTTTGTAACAGATGCAATACAATGTCTTTCACTTTGACAATTCAAAACAAAATAACGTTTAACTTAATTATTACTCAATTGCACTTTATTCCCAGCAAACCCGTGCTGGAGAACTCTATCACTACAAAAATCTCCATACTCCCTCACTGTTGTTGAATATTTTATCGTGAGTATTTTTTTTCTCGCTACCCTTTCTCAAAGTTAATGGTTCCCAATATGGTTCCCTGACCAAACATTAAACTCGGTGGATATCATTCATTTGTGACTGCTGTGAAATAGACTGGAGAATTTCAACAAAAATGATATCCCCGCGTATGTACTCAGGGTAAGACCTTGTGTGCTATCACAAATCAAGTGTATTCATTCTGGAGTTCCAACTCCCATTTCTGAACATTAAAGCCAAAAAATAGCAGACTTATGGCAGTTCCAACTGAGATTGGCTGATTCAGCAATAACCAGGGATAACTTGCATAATCCTCTCTATTGTCTTATCTGTGGACATTTAACTCAGTTGGGGCTGGACAGCTAGTTTGCAATGTAGAGTAAAGCCATATGTGTGGCTTCAATTCCTGCACTGGCTGAAGTTACCATGCAGATCTTGAACTTGCCCCTCACCTGAGGCATGGTGAGCCTTGAGTTAAACTCACCATATCATCTCTTGAATGGGTGGAACTATGGCAACTTAAATCATATGCTGATAGGTAAGGTTACTACTAAAAAAGCAATATTTTACTTCACAGTGGCTGAAACTATTCTATTCATAGCAATGAGCTAACATCCTGAAATAAAAAACTGTTGCTCTAATTACAGCTGAATTAATTTATAATTGTGTAACCTGTAGCACCTTTAGAATCTTTGGAGATTTCCAAGAAAGAATTGCATGGCTCAAGTGGATAATTACTGGATGAGAATCCAGACTCTCTGCTTTGAAAGCAACAGGAAATGTTAAGGAGTACTTGTAAATTCATTTGATTTTGGTACAATTTGGTTTTCTACAAAAAAGTCAAGGATCAATGACTAAAACAAAGAGTCTCCAGACACTTTCTGAAGTTTTATTATTAGATAATGTACTTTACATTGCAGACTATGAAGCAAGTACATCATTCTACATTGATTAACAAATGTTGGTTTCTTAACTCTTGGGAGGGTAATTTATGCTTTGCTGTTTTATTTTTTTCTCAAATGTTTTAGAATTTAAGATCATTTAATTGAAATGCAGTTCTCCAACTTTTTGATTTTTATCCAGTTTTAAATTTCAACACTTCCTCCTTTTAACCCTAACCAAATAATTCATTTTCGCTGAGGCACTTTATACTGCCCTTGCTTACAGAAAATCGTGACACTGTAATTATAAACAAGGAACAAAGTGAGACAAAGATTCAGGTAGGGCTTTCTCATTTATTGTTGGGATTGACCTTAAGCTTCGTTGCTCCCTCTCACAGCAAAAATAATCTGTAGCATACAAAGACGAACGTTTTGAAATGACCAATCTATGGAAAGAATGGAACCTGCCATAAAATAGAAACGTTTGTTACAGATGTTGGGAAAAGACTTCCTCTGCATCCTGTTTTTCTTATATAAGTTATGATCTTTCTGGAGTTATTGCACAAGTAAGATTTCAGCATTTGAGATTGCTAACTCAGTAACATCAGAAGGGACAAGATAATTATTGGTGGTATTTGAGAGGAGAGCCTCTACCTTTCAATAAAACAGTGAAACCTCTGAGGATTCCTGATTCTATGGAGACAGACACAGCTGAACAACTAGAAAAATTTTTTTCTCAATGGTGTACTAGATATCAGGTGCTTTTCTTTTTTCAAAAATGAACTGCTTAAAAATCCCAAGGAAATGTATTTACAAAAACTAAGATGTGAAATCAGGTTTTTTTAATAAGGTAATCTTCAGTCACAGAATTATCTCAACCATGGCAGCCTCAGTAAATACAGTAGTTCAACAGTGTGTAGTATTTTACATTGTATTGTTCTAGTCTGTCAGGCTTAAAACTTGCGCTTTCCCATGCTGGCTCTCAGCATTATTGTGCTCTCCACAAAGACACCTGGGTTTGCTATCATTTGCAGCCAAATGTGTTGTTCCTCTCCTTGGGAATCCATCCAATCAACTTCATTTCCATAGCTATGGCCTGTTAAGAAACAATAAATGTGACAATATAAATATTTAGGTGCCACACCAGTAGTAGCTCCATCTTGACACAGCCTTGCAAATTTTTACCTCATAAGACAGTGGTCCTGTTGATTTCTGACAAAAGCACAATCTGAATTTTTGTACAATTAATTGTGAGGACATTAAGTGACCACTTTGTCCAAGAAGGGAATCTAAAGTCTGGAGTAGATAATTTAGTAATGTTATAGATGGAGAGTTGCCTCTGATTTTTGATTGCAAGTCACGGCTGTAATTTTCCCGTTTTCAGTTAGTTTGGTTGTGTGAGATTGATGGGTGTTTGGCCTGGTTCACCACAGCTCAGAGCAACTTTTCTCACACAATCTTCTGTTCCTCACCTCACTAATTATGCAAATGTGTCTTTGGTGTCTTGAGACTGGAAAGGAGGAAATGCTTGGCACTGCTGGGATCTTCCAGCTTTCATGCCACTGATTCCATATATCTAGCCCAGCTCCGTACCACTACAGGCACTACAAGCCAGGGAAGACCCCTGTGGTGCTTGAGCCTCAATAATGAAGACATGGCCCAAGGCAAAGCATAGCTACTATCTGCTTCATGGACAGGGACCAGGAGATGTTCATGGATGGGGCGGTGTAGAGGAGGGCTATCATCTCTCCAGCCAACTTTCATAGGAGGCCTTGTCACCAGACCAAACGGAACCAGCCTAGACAATTCCATCCCCTGTCAGTGCTGTATCTGGAATGAAGCAGGATGCTTTGCAGTGCAGGAAGAGGCTCAATGATATTCTATGCTCTGTAAGGGTAAGTGCCACCATCGCCTATCTGCTACCTTGTAGCAAAGGGAAACCACTGACTCTAACTCTGGCACTGCACATGCTCTCACCAAGGCACGGGATCTGCAATGTTGTCTACTGAATATATCAGATGCACTGAATGGATCTCCCATACCTCATCCTCCCAAACTACGAACGCTTTCTGCTCTCTGGACTGCCAGTTCATCCAATATGAACACCTCAGCATCTAACTGTTCTTCCTTCCACTTCCAAACTCAATCCTTTTGTCTTTTTTGCAGGCACAACAGCCCCAGCTTGGATTGATGTTTCAACAGCACCATGAATGACCTACCTGTAATCCTTGGATCTACAGGACTGACGGTGGTCCAACCTCTGAACTCCAAGGATACAGATCCCTGGAATCCTGTAGGACCAGGTGCCTTAGTGATTGTGGTAAAATGCCTGGACTGGAATTGAATGTGGCAATATCTTCTAACTGATTAATCTACTGCTCCCTTTGACTTCCATGTACAACCATTTGCTTTGGAACAGAAACAGTGTGTTTACCACAAACTGTTGGTACATTAACTAGGTCTGCCACTGATATAGCATGGCGCTGTATAGCAACATGCGGACCTCAATCTTACTGATGGATTGACTATTCAGTACTCCCTGCCATCACGCACTGCCTGCCAATCCCACAGTGTTGAAAAGGAACACAAGCCACAGAGGCTGGCAGCCTGTAATTGAGCACTATAGACCTTGAGCTCTAAGAAAGCAAGCTAAGAACCATAAGATGCATCTGGTCATTTGAACACAAAAGCATCCTGTGTAGATGCATGTCTGTTGCTGCATATACACTGACGTGGCAGAAACGTGCAAGTCCTGGGTGTCCCTGAGGTCTGAGGTAAATTGTTGAAGGCCTAAAGTGGTGTGTGAGTTGGCCCAGGAACTGCCACGATGTAGTGAGACTTGTGGTTTACTGATGCTGACTTGCGTGGAGGAAGTGCAAATGAGGATGCCAGCTATTGAGCATGTGAAGCAGCATCTGCACTATGGCCAGGACAAGCATCAGTGAGCTGTACCTGCCAGTTCCCATTCTGATTTACACATTGGGAATTTGCACTGACTGGTTTCTCAGTGAAGGACAGGAGAATCGGAAGTGGAGTAAAAATTTGGTGAGTTTATGCTTAAATGAGATGCAAAAATATCACAAGATTCTGAAATTACCCTTTACTGAAGATAGGATATGGAACAGTACAGCACAAGAATGGGCCCTTTGGCCCACATGTCTGCAGTGACCATGACGCCAGTCTAAATAATAACATCTGCCTGTACATGATCCATACTCCTCTATTCCCTGGCTGTTCAGGTCTGCCCAAATGCCTCTTTAAACATTGCTACCATATCTCCTCTATCACCACCCCTGGCAGTGCATTTTGGGCACTCACCACCCTCTGTGTAAAAACTCACCTTACACATCTCCTTTAAACCTCCTTCCTCTCATCTTAAACCCCATTAATTGATATAATAAACCTATTCACTATGATTTCTTCCATTTTATCTCTTAGGAAAACTCCTATACATGGGAAAATCTTTCTCAATGGCAAGATTCTGATTTTGTTCTCTCCAGATTCACCCACCTTTCTTGTCATTATTCATTGTCACATCAGAGAGGGGAATATTTCATCATTGGCCTAAAGAAGTTTCTGAATTGAGTGAAATATAAGCAATATTATTCACACTTTTGAAATGCAACCATGTTGCTATTTAATTTTTCTCCTTCCAGAATTTAACTTGTACATTTGAGTTCTCAACCTCCATTACTTCCAACTATTACTTTGTACAATTCTGTTTGTTTGTTGGTGATACTTCAATCGTATTTTAGAGATACCCACAGATCCTGAGTATATCCATCCAAGTATCATGTAAATGCGGACGCAGGTTCCTCTGGGATCTGCTGGGGTCTTAACTCGGATTGAGATCAGAGATGATCTGTTGACCATTTTCCAGGCCAGTTGCAGTAGGAGAAGATCGAGCTTCTCTGGAAGAAAGTCACATTCTAATAAATTTGCCTGATGCTTGTATCATTTTCCTAGATGTCCACTTCTGGCATTTTGTAGTATTTGCTACCTCTCCCAGTATGTGGTATAGGGAAAGGGATGTTTGAAGTAGTTTGCAGCCACCAATCTTGCTTTGTCTTGGGCCTATCTAGTGATCAATGGTAGAGATTACACCATCATAGAGTATCAACAGAAGAGTTGCTGTTCTCAGATAACAAGGAGGTTTATTGCATGATAGCAATAAGCACAATTACATTTGGTCAATGTACTTATTAAAATCTACGACATTTTAAAAGGCATTTGGACAGGTGCATGGATAGGAAAGGTTTAGAGGGATATGGGCCAAATGCAGGCAAATGAGACTAGTTTAGTTCAGGATACCTGGTTGGCACAGATGATTTGGACCGAAGGGTCTGTTTCCATGCTGTATGACTCAGATACATCTGCTTCCCTTGAAAGCAAGAGTAGAAACCCCAGTTCCACCCAATGTAACATGAACATTAACCCCTTTAGAACTATTACCTGATCTAATTCTTCCAGATCTCTCTTTCTGAACTACACATTTAAAAAATTCCAGCAAGTACGTAATGACTGTAGGTTTAAATTTATCTATGGGATGTGGTCAGTTCTAGCAGGCCTAGCAAATAATGCCAATCCATAATTGTCTTTGACAATGAGTGTGGTGGTACTTCCACAGTGTTGTTTGGTAAGGAGTTTCTGGATTTTAACTCAGTAATGAAGAAGAAATAGTAATATATTTCCAAGTCAGGATGGTCTACAGATTGGAAGTAGTGATGCTTCCATGAATTGACTACCTTTTATCCACCTAGGTTGTCGAGGTCATGGATGTGGACAGTGCTCTCTGAGAAGTCTTAGCGAGTTGCTGCATTGTATCTAGTAGATTGTGTACTGTGCACACTAATGTATTTCTCACATTTTTCATGTAAATTCAACCTGCTTTTCCACTTCCATGTAGGCAGCTTTTATTGTGCCAGCATCTAGGATTTCTAGTCATTTTAAGAAATACAAGCACACCATAACTGGAGCATAAGCAGCATCTAACAGGAGCATAGATTGAGTCAAAATACTTGGTGGAGCTGTTCTGCCATTACAGCCAAAGCACTTTTGAATCTTTCCCCAAACTATCTTTCATGGTCTCTTGCCTCGACTGTAAAAGCATTTTCTATTTCTTACAGAAGTTTTACTATCATGTTTTCCAAAGATCTCATCATTTACCTGACTGAAGTACTGCAGAGCTGTTAGTATTCATGGAAGTATAACTGAGTGTAAGAAGGTAAGAGGTGGTTTCCTCAAATTACCAAATTAATAGATAAAGCTTGTGACAATTTGTTTCTGCATAAATATTCATGAGAACCTGCATAAAGAAATCTAATACAACACCATTTGCAGCTATGTGGCATAGCTACTGTTTCTACATTATTCAAATCTGAGTTAAGATTGACCTTTTCTACTTGAACTACTTTCCATGTTCATCAGCAAGTTGGTTATTCTGAGGAAAAAAAATCAATGAAAGGCTCAGGAGACAAAAAAAATTAATTACCATTGCCATAGCCGAGTCTGATACCACCTAGGAAAACATTGCTGGAAAGAGATTCTTTGTCCCAGACCGTTAATTCTAAGGAGACGTTTTGTAGATCATTTGGGTGTAAACCACTGTAGGTGAAGGTATGGTTCCACTGAGGGTTTACACTCTTTTTTATGATCTGTGTTTTATGCTTAGAAGCTTTGTTGTTGTCAGGAAGCAAGTATCTGGTTAAAACAAATGATTAAGCAAGAAGAAGTTAATATTTTAGTTCAGGAACAGAGAAAACCTCCATATTCGTCTTGCATCTGGTCTTATCCCTACTGCGTTGATAAGAAAATAGCTGATATGCCATACAATAGTACTGACAGGAGCTTTCTACATAAGCTTAGTACATCTTCCCATCATCAGAAAATATTGTTATAAGTGGTGCATTACAGGCAACATAGACTGCATAAATTACCACAGTAAAAATATTCAAATTAGTAATGATCTAGCATTGGTTGAATGTATTTTCAAGATCCATTGTTAATTTTGAATATTTGGGATGTGCCAGGCCACTTTTCTTAATTTATTACAAAAATGTTTCCTCTAATTACTTACTTTTCCCTACTGCAATGATACCATTAAAGTGTTATGGTGAAGTAGGAATCCATTTAGCCCATTGTGCCTGTACCTGCTTGTTTAAATGCACATTAATACCTAGAGCTTTATCCACATACCCTTGCACTTTGGGTGAAAAAAAATCATCCAATGCCCACTTTTATGCCTAAATTGGACCTGCTGCCACCACATTTCCAGGCAGTACATTCCATACCCTACTGTGAAAAAGTTTTTCCTCACTTCTTGCTTCTTTCGCAGATCACTTTAAATCTATGCTGTCTTGCCCTTATTTTTAGTTACAGATTCTCCAATGATGTTATGCTCCTAAAGTCATCACATGTTATGTTTCCTGAACTTACCCTTTTACAAAGGTATCTGAAACACCTCCTGTTTTTACTGCAGTTAAATTTTTGGCTTCCTTAATGAACACCTCCAGTATTCCACCACTAGATACCTGGGCAGAGTCTTTCTTTCCTCGAATTAAACTTCTTTTAGCTGTGTGGAATGACAAAAGTGCAAATTATTTTTAAGCTATTATCCAAATAAGCACTGTGGCAATAAAGTATTCTGTTTGGGAACAGTGGTAATAATTTATTGTGAAATGCTCTGGATTGCGGAATATATTTCTATGCAAACCAGAATATACTCCAGGCCATCAGAGAAAAGTGAGAGGTTTGTGATACTCGCACCTTTGAACTACTAAAGCTGTTGTCACATGATAAGCATCAGAGAAAAGTATAAACATCTGTAGGGCAAATATTGTTGCTACAATTTCAAACTGTCTGGAGATTACATGACGATGTTTATGAATAGTCCCTGGCTGTCTGAGCATCCAGAATGGTTTGATTGGTGATATTGTGACTATCTTGCTATCTTATCTAGTGGTAAAAGCAAGTACAACCTTGGTCTGCACCTCTTGCGCTAAAAGATAAAATTATAGAGAAGAGCAGTAATAAATTATCAGTGGAGGCTGTCTAACAAAATATCTTGCGTATGTTTTAGATTTGTATTGGCAGATGGTTGTTATTCCAGTGTAGATGGGAATTGCACACTGAGGACCCCACAGAATTCATGTTCGGATTTGTTTGGGAAATTGAGATTTTATTTTGCAATTTATGGCTGGAACCCTCTTACAGTCTCCATTTTAAATGGCAAATTTGGAGGGTTCCAATTAAATTCAGCAAACAGCTATTCAAGAAAATTGAGACGTTTAACTACATAGTCCGATTCCCAAGTAACTATTCAACTGATCCCATAGTTGGCTCACATGTCCTATTTGCATCTCCCCCAGACCACTTACACCCTCTGGGACCCAAAATCCACCATCCCAATCACTACTCAAGCAAAGCAGGCCTGACAAAATTTTCAATATTTTTACGAGTTATTCTGTGTATATTTGTACTTTTTTTTTTTTACTATTTACTTAACATTTCTCAACTCTTACATGCAATGTTTCTCCTGTATTTTCTTTTTAACATTTTTCTTGGTCTTTACAGTTATCCAAACCACCTACCATCCATCAGATTCCTTTTAAACTCTGAAAACCAGCAGTTTATTTTAGCCCCGGATGTGGTTTCTATTCCTTTTTGGTCAGAATCAACCTTGAATATAACCACAACAATTCCTTAAGTTCTTGCTCTTATTCATAGATTTCTCAACCATTACTGCTATGTTGTGAACGCTTTATAACTTCATTGCAAATTTATTTAAAACTTGTTTTTTCTTATGTTCAGTAGCATGAGCTACTCTTGCATTGCAGAAAATCTTTGCCTTAACCACAAGTTCTCGTTACAGCTGATTTCGTGGAGCTAGCTATGTATCGAATGGAAAACGGGCCTTCAGTTTACATACAAGTAGTGGCTGTGGTGTAGGAATTACTCTATGTTGGTCTCAGGAAATATAAAGACAACTTTAGTGCTCTGATAATCTGTGTATCCTCAGTGTTTCTACGTACTCTCAATTTATACACTGATGCCAATCACACTCAATACTCTGCGTAGAGCAACTATAATGCATATATAAACCCACTCACCTTTTCCATGTTCTTTTGGAACAGTCAGTGTCTGACCAAATGGGACGTAACGCAAAGAAATTGTCAATTCTCCTTTATACTGTAGAACATTATCTACAGGAGCCTCCACCTACGAGCAAGCAAAGGACAAGTAAATCTGTAAGAATTACACTAAAATCCACTTGTATCATTTGATTTTGTGGTGTCAGTTGAAGCAGTCTAACATTTTGGATTTCTGTGACATATGCTTTTTTTTAATGAAAATGACATTAATTCTGAAAACTAATCGGTCACTCTAACAGAATGTCCCAATAGTTTAGATGTCAGTCTGTTTTAATTTAACACTTAAGTGGTATGCCGCAAGTATCAGTGCTGGGTCCACTGTTTTACATTGTTTATATAAATGATTTGCCTGTGAATATAGGAAGTAGGGTTGGTAAGTTTGCCGATGACTCCAAATATTCTTTTCCCCAGGGTGGGGGATTCCAAAAGAGCACAGATTTAAGGTGAGAGAGAGCAAAGATTTAAAAGGGACCCAAGCGACAACATTTTCATGCAGAGGGTGGTGCACCTATGGAATGAGCTGCCAGAGGTCGTAGTGGAGGCAGGTATAATTACAACATTTGAAAGGCATCTGAATGGGTTTATGAATAGGAAGGGTTCAGAGGGATATGTGCCAAATGGGACTAGATTAATTTAGGATATCTGGTCAGCATGGACAAGTTGGACCGAAGGGTCTGTTTCCATGCTGTATGACTCTATTAGTGTAGTTATGAGCTCGTAGCTATGGCTTAATATTTTACTATGATATGACAAACTGATTGTTCTGTAAACTCAACATACCCTTCCCTGGATTGAACATTTCATGTGTCAATGTTGTGATCTGGAGGGTGGTGGTAAAAGATCCATACATCTTGTCAATGTGCTGCTCACATATTCAATGCTACTGTAAGAAATCCCTGCTGTTTACTGTCCACCTCCCAATGGTTCAACATTTTTTAATAGCCAAGTAGTGACTTTCAATTCTGGGTGAAGCGTGGGCAGTGTTTACTTCCATATAATGAAACTGCTTCTAATTTGTATTTAAATCACCATAAGCATTTCTCATTGAGGTTGGAACAAAGGCACAGTACTGGGGGAAGAGGTCTAGTGTGCAGAATAATGTGACATTTGGCTTGCACAATACTGACTTTATGATCAAAATGATTTGTGTTCCATTTCCTCATATTAGTATCCTTCATCTCAAGGAACACAAACTCAGCCAAGATGTTTCAATCAGCAATGCATAATTATTACTTTGCATTAACTATTATTTTAATAATGTTAATCATGACTGCTAGTTTTAGAACAGTGATCATTTGTTTCTGCTTAGTTATATGGCATTAAGCAAATAATAGAAAATTTACTAATTATGAAGAGTGGTATCAGGGAAAGGTGGAGTGCTCAGGCCAAATACATGTAGAACATATTCTGTTTCTGCAGCATGTTTTACTCAATTAATAAACATGAACATATTTGCAGACAGAAAAATGCAGTTTTCATTTCAAATTAATGGTACATTGATGCTATCGAGCAACAACTACACAGATATTCAGCTAAGACTGGAATTCTTCAATATCATCTATGTAGGTGGGGTACTGGAGGATTCCAATACTGTATTTGCCTAGAGAAGAGAAGTGAAGAAAAAGGACCAACATTGCTATTCAAAATAATATAATGCTCAACAAGTCCTTTGATATTTTCTGCATTTGAACACTTTAAGAATTCATCAAGTGATAATCACTATTGATCACCACAGGAATTCCTATACAATTTAAAGCAAACTGCATCACCTTTATTGGTATTAAAATCTATACTGGGAACCTTGACAAAATGCATCAACGTGGCTGTGAAGGCAAGTGAGTGAGTAGATCCTAGAGCTCTGACCACTCACTTCTGAAACCTGCCTATGGGCCTGATTTCTTCCTCCTGATTTTTCTTACTGTTTGGAACAGTGACTCTTTCATGTAATCATCTATTTCAAAGCTTACCTTTGGCTGCAGTGGAAACCAGTCCTCAACATGATTTTCCAAATCCCAGGAATCAAATGGTATCTCCACTTCACCCAGGAAACTGTTGCGTCCAAATCTGTCATAGTGCCAGACTGACAGCTGGAGAGTTCGTGTCTCCAATTGTGAGTGACTAATGACGTACTGCAAGAATAATGACAAAAGTGACATAATTTACAGACAAAAGCCAACTTGATGCATTTGTTTGCATAATGTACTGCCAAAGACATGCTCTCAATTAATAGCCCTTAACATTAGGCATGGGAGCAGGACTAGGTCAAAGGGTCCCTTAAGCCTGTTCCTCCATTCAGCAAGATCATGATAAATCCACAACCTCCAATCCATTTTCTCACCCAATTTAAATATCTCTCCAATTAGCCCTTAATGGCCATATAGTCCAAAAAATTATAATCTTAGACATGAGTATAATCCATAACTGAATCATGTTGAAAGATTTATCTAAAAATGTATCTTGAAGCCTCATCACTGATGCTGCTTTCTCTCTGTATAGTATTATGGATTAGTTATAACACAGAAGAAGTCCATTCAACTAGTTCTGTTCTGTGCTGACTCTCAGGAGGACCAATTCACTTAGCCCCACTCTCCTCAGAGCCCTGCAAATTCTTCTTCTTTTTCACCTAATAAAACAACTCTGTCTTGAATGCCTGAATGGACCCTGCTTCTCAGGGAGTTCATGCCAGGTCCTAACCACTCACTTCTGTAAAAAGTTTTTTCTCATGTCACTATTTACTACTTTTGCCATTTATCTTTTAAAATCTGTGCCTGCTGGCTCTTAATCATTTTAACAAAGGGAACAGTTTCTTTTTGTCTATCCATATCCCTTCTATCAAATCTCCTCCTCAAAACACTCCACTCCAAAGAGGCCAGCCTCAATTTCTCCAATCTGTCTACATAACTGATGTTTCTGATTACTGGAAGTATTGTCAATGGCTTAGTGGTGTTATCACCGGACCCTTAATCCAGAGACCCAGGGAATGTTCTGGGGACCCAGGTTCAAATCCTGCCATGGCAGATAATTCCAACAAATTGCACTAAGAGTCTAATGATGACCATGAATCCATTGTCGATCATTGGGAAAAACCCATCTGGTTCACTAATGTCCTTTAAGGGAAGGAAACTGCCATCCTTACCTGGTCTGGCCTACATGTGACTCCAGACCCACAGCAATATAGTTGACTCTTAACTGCCCTCTGGGCAATTGGGGATGGGCAATAAATGCTGCCCAAACAGTGACGCCCACATCCCATAAATGGTTTATTTTTTAAAAATTGTGTGCGCCCCCTGTTTAGTGGCTTAATAAACTGCGGTGTTCAGAATTGGATGTAAACTCTAGTTGAACTTGAACTGATGTTTATACAGGCTTACCATCATTTCTTTGTTTTTGTCCTCTATGCCCCAATTGATAACATATCTGGCATCCTGGCCTTTATTAACCATTCTCAACTTGAGCTGCCAACTTCAATGATTTATACAGAAATATAAAATCACAAGTCAGCTAAGCCAGATAATTCAACGCAAAAGAAGCTATCTAGTTATCCTAAAGGAAATATATATATGTAAGACCCACATTAAAACAAAAATCTCCAATGTAAGAAATGTACAAACTTATGCATTACCTTGCAATTTTGCATTTGAAATTTTCATGCATGATGTATGTCCCAGATCAAAAAGTACTAGAATCACAATGTCTTCTGACTTTTAACTCGTATTCCTCAAATAAATCCACAAATCCCCTCTCTAATTTGAGCTGCACTCGCCTTTTTAAGCAACTCACTCACTTCATCAATCAGATCTTACAACTTGAACATGTCCCTACACTCTACAATGGGCAGATTTTGACTCTTGTTTTGGCATACAGCTGGTGACATGATAAGCATCTAGTTTTCATATTCAACTATAATCAGTGGAACTGAAGTCAGGCCATCGGGCAATCGATCTGTGATACGAAGTTTCATAGGAACAGAAGAAATAGGGACAGGAGTTGACCATAAGACCTTCTCAACATGTTCTGCAAATCAAAATGATCATGACTGATCTGCCTTAATTCACCCTGCCCATGATGGAGGATCCACAACCCTCTTGCTAGAGAATTTCAGAAGATTCTCAACCTTCTGAATGAAGAAATTTATCCACGTTTTAGTCGTAAATTATTAGCCATTTGTCTGGAGGCTCTGCTTGTGTTCTAGATTCCCCATCCATGGGAAACAACTGCTCAGCGTCTTTCCTGTTAAAAAGATTCTGAAGTCTTTAATGTTTTAACAAGATCATCTCTCTTTCTTCTAAATTAGCGTATCTGGGGCAATTCACTTAGTCTCTCATCTCAAATCATACTTCTCATCCTAGGAACCAATCCAGTTAATCTTTTCTGTACACTTCCCAGACCAGTATTACACTTCCTTACCACGTGGAGACCAAAACTGCACATACTATTGGTGTGGTCTGACTAAAAACCTATACCATTATCATAACACTTCCTTATTTTTGTACCCCAAACCCTTGTAGTAAAGGCCAACATCCATTTGCCTTCCTAATTGCTTGCTGTTGACTTGGAGACCCAAGTCACTCCGAACATTAACATTTAAATGTTTCTCATCTTTTTAAAAAATATTGTTTTCCTATTCTCATTAGCAAAGTGAGTAGAGTCAAGTCTCCTGTGTTTATCTGCCACCTTGTTGCCCTCTCATCCAATCTGTCTTTAGCTCTTCAAAGCTTCTTCGTGTTGTCTTTAGAAGCTTATATTCCTAAGGCTCTTCTGGTGCAGTGGTAGTGTCCTTAGCTCTGAGCCAGTAGGCCCAGGTTCTGATCTCAATTTCTTGAGCGGTATATCATAACATGTCAGAACAGGTTGATCATATCTACGTTCCTAACTAGCTGTGAATCATCAGCAAACTAGGACACGTTACTCTAGGCCTCTTTAGTTAGGTCATTAACATAGATTATAAATACTTGAGGCATGAGCACTGTTTACTGAAGCATTTCATTAGTCACAATCAGTTCCTCTCCCTTATTACTCTTTATCTCTGGTATACAGTATAATGTTGCCTTTTGCTGTGAGGACAGCCATGGAATATTTGTCTCTGCTATTTGAAAATTCCCCATAATTTATTCTGATTCTGTCTCTGGGGGCCAATGTTTATTTTAAGTGGTGCTGTATTGGTAATGTCACTGGACTAGCCATCCAGAAGCCCAGGCCAATGTTTTGAGGAAATGGATTCCAGACCCACACATGCCAGATGCTGAAATTTGAATTCGATGTAACCTTGAATAGTTGGCCAAATGATGACCTAATAGTAACATGTAGATGGTATGAAGCTTGGAAGCGTTTTAAACTGTTCATTCATGAGATGTGGGTATCACCAGCTCAGCCAACATTTACTGCCCATCCTTAATTGCCTAGAGGCAGTTAAGAGCCTACCACATTGTTTTGAATTAGGAGTAACATGAGGCCTGACCAGGTAAGGACGGTAGATTTCCTTCCCTAAAGACATTAGTGAACCAGATATAACACAGTGTGGAGCTGGAGGAACACAGCAGGCCAGGCAGCATCAGAGGAACAGGGAAGTTGATGTTTCGGGTCGGGACTCAACCAGATAGTGGTTTCATGGTCATTATTAGGCCAACTGTCTATTCCAGATTTTATTGAATTCAAATTTAGGTAGCTGAATTACCTTCTCTTTCACCATGACCTGCACACACACATGTTCTTTGGTAAAGGCAGATTTATCCAAGTTACTTTATCCAGCTCCCTGTGGAAATGCAATTGGCATTGCTTCAATTTAAGGTTCTTGCTTGGGGCTCATTTATGTCAGGGTGCATTTCTATTGCTTTCAAACTAACATGAAATTGATTTGTATTGTGATCACCTTGCCCCCCCCCAGACAACCTTTTGCTATGAAACTAAAAATTAATTCTGCCTCATTATAACAATGTATTCTTCTAGGAAGTTGAAATTTAAGCATTCTTATCTCCCATTCTACCTTTGCCTACATGATTTTGTTGTCTATTTGAAGATTATTATGTTGTTTTTACATTGCTTTTATGACAAGTTCCAATTACTACTTATTGAATGTTCCGGCTGGTGGCATAACTACAGTTAGTGGGCCTATAAACAACTCCCAACTGCATTTTCTGATCCTTCTTATTCCTAATCTCCTTTTATACCAATTCTGCTATGGAATCTTCCCCAGTCAAGACACTTCCTTACCACTATCCACATGCAATGCTTTGTTAGCAGGCTGTTAACCCCCTCAGGTGCCTTTTGTCTGTCTTTCCCAATGTTGTGGACCGTCAAATTTTTTCCCAACCTTGGCCTTCTTTTAACTTCAGATGCTAACATGGGAAATTGCAGCAGGAGGTGGTACTCAACCTGCTCTGTCATTAAACTTGATCATGGCGGAGGTTCCACCTCAAAGCCATGATACCCAAATTCCTTTATCTTTATCTTTAATATCTAGGCCATGAGCATGTTCAGAAATGTATTTCAGAACAACTTTGTTTCAACTGCCCGAGGGTTATTTGATATGGATTTGTAGCAACTTATAATGAAATGTGTGGAGGTGAAAGAAAATTCTTTGAGTCCTGTTATTTTATTTACTTCAAATTGCCCCTCCTATCTTGGCATTAGCTCTAAACTGTGCTGTTATCGGCCTTGGACATCAAATCACAGAATCATTTATGGTAAAGAAGGATGTCAATTGGCCTTCTGCAATCTTACTGGCTCTTTCTTTATGGAGAAATCAGTCGTCCCGTTTCCCCTGCTCTATCCCTATAACTCTCCAAATTAAATTTCATTCAAGAACTCACCAATTTTATGTCTGCCTCTACCACCCTTGTGGGTAGCAAGTTTCGGATCAGTACTATCCACTGCACTTAAAAAAAAAAACTTCTCATTACCCCTGCATCTCTCTTGCCCAAAACTTTAAATCTGTGCTTCCTATTTCTTGTACCATCAGCTAAAGGCAACAGTATTTCCTTGTTTACCTTATCCAAGTCTGTCTTAATCTTGGATAGCTTTATAAGGTCTCCCTTAATCCTCTTTGCTTCAAACACTCTGGCCTCTCTCACCTAACCTTTTGGCTAAAACTCCCCATAAATGAAACCATTCTGATAATAATGTGGTCAAAACTGCAACTTATTTCTTGTATGTAGTGTGTTTGGAATGTGATATCCGGAAATGTATCAGTTAAACCTTCATAGTTCAAGCATTGGGATTATGTCACCAGCAGCATGATAATAAGTAATAGATGAAATGCAATTGCAGATGGAGCTGTGGGCCCCTTCCTCTCCAGTATCCTTGGAATATGACATTATCATCTTCTCCTGGGGACCTGGCACATGCCTACCTAGTCTCTGAACAGGACATAGCCCAGGGACCTGACATGCCCTGCCCCATGGCCGGATATACCTCCAACCCCCCCGCTCCACTGCAATGTCATCTCGCACCCCAGGATTCAGCATCCCCTTCCCAACAGGGCTCGACAGCTCCATTTAACCCACCCCAGGTATAATACTGTTCCTAGCTCCCTCCAGATTCTAACATTCCTTCTGTGGGGTCTGAGACATACCCCTCCCAGCCAGATATGACAATTCCCTTCTCCATACCAGATCACATACCTCTGGCCTGCCTTGACCTACCTTATCACTCAACTGCTTATGTGCCATCTTTCCTAGTCTCGGCCTGAGAACAGCGCCCACGTGGCTCCCTACCCATCTGACATCCTGCCATTTTCTTTTTCTACTCATCTTGCACCCTAAATGCACACTATCTTACATGTTGACTGCGTCGCAGGAGCTGTACAGCACGGAAGCAGACCTTTCGGTCCAACTTATCCATGCCGACCAGATATCCTAAACTAATCCAGTCCCATTGCCAGCATTTGGCGCATGTCCCTCTAAACCCTTCCTATTCATAAACCCATCCATATGCCTTTTAAATGTTATCATTGTACCAGCCTCTACCACTTCCTCTGGCAGCTTATTCCGTATACGCACCACACTCAGCGTGAAAAGGTTCCTTTTAAATCTTTCCCCTCTCACCTTAAACCTATGCCCTCTGGTTTTGGACTCCCCTACCCTGGGGAAAAAGACTTTAGCTATTCACCCTACCCCCTATCCATGACCCTCATGATTTTATAAACCTCTATAAGGTCCCTATTCAGCCTCTTGCAATAGCTCAAACCTTCAAACCCCAGCAACATCCTTTTAAATCTTTTCTGCACCCTTTCCAAGTTTAACAACGTCTTTGCTATAACAGGGAGACCAGAACTTAACGCAGTATTCCAAAAATGGCCTAACCAATGTCCTGTACTCCTAATTCAATGCTCTGACCAATAAAGGTGTGAACCAAGCGCCTTATACAAAAGCCTGGTTCGGCCACATCTGGAGTATTGTGTCCAGTTCTGGTCACCTCATTACAGGAAGCATTAGAAAAGGTGCAGAGGAGATTTAGCAGGATGTTGCCTGGAATGGAGGGAAGGTCTTACGAGGAAAGATTGAGAGAGCTAGGGCTTTTCTCTTTAGAACAACGAAGGATGAGAGGTGACTTGATAGAGGTGTACAAAATGATCAGAGTTATAGATAGAGTAGACAGCCAGAGACTTTTCCCTAGGGTGGAGGTAGCTTTTACGAGAGGACATAGTTTTAAAGTGAAAGGAGGTAGATATCGGGGAGACGTCAGAGGTAGGTTCTTTACTCAGATTGTGGTAGGGGCGTGGAATGCATTGCCGGAGAGGGTAGTGGAGTCAACCTCATTAGGGGCATTTAAGCGGCTATTAGATAGGCATATGGATGATAGTATAAGGTAGCGGTGGAGGTTAGATAGACCTTAGGTTTAGGGTAAAAGATCGGCACAACATCGTGGGCCGAAGGGCCTGTACCGTGCTGTACTGTTCTATGTTCTATGTTCTTCACTACCCTGCCTACCTGTGACTCCCACCTTCAAGGGGCTGTCTGGGCTGCTGGATATTTCAATTGCAGATTGTATCAAGTGCCATGAAATGCCTTCTCCTGACTATCCTGCATTATGAGGGCACAGTTGCAATTAAGATACACGCCACATTTCTGATCGGAATCTCCTGGCAGAAGTGTGGAGGTCTTTCGTACCTGTGAAAAGAGGCAAAGCAATCTTGCCACTTCTCTGAAACTATGGCTCAAAGTTCTCAAGTACTAAAGTGAGGCTTTACACTATATAGCCATTGTTGATGCATCTAATATTTACTTACAATGATATTATTTTTATTCTAACTTCCCAAATTTCCGACTTTATAGGATGTTAAAGGTAAAGTTACAATATCCCAGAGGGCCATATGCCTGCAATCTCATCAGATAGAGATGATTGGTGGTGGTTTGACCTGAGGGTCACCATGCCTCGGGTAAGGAGAGAGGAAGCGCGTGTCATAGTAACCTCAGCTGGTGCAGGAATTGACTCCACACTGTTGGCATGACTCTGCATCACAAACCAGCTGTCCAGCCAATTGAGGGCATCAGTTTCCAGAGTTATCCAAGCTCTGTTAATCTTGTGCTCTCAAATTTGGATTTCTGAACTTCACTTTAAAAGCTTACTAAAACAAAGACACCTCACAAAACATGTTATTTTATGTACTTTACTTTTAGCTGTCCCTCAACTATTCACTGCAAATAAAATGCTCGTGTCCAAGTTAGTTCTCTGACCATTAGGTAAACCTCTATCATGTGATTAAATGACAGAGATCTGCTTTGATACAATCAGAGTTTCAAGAATTCTTTTTAATACAGCAACAGCATTCAAACTAGATAAACATCAGTTATAAATGTGTACACATTCATTTGAATTAAGAGTAGATGTAGACCTTTAGCAAAACTACCATCTGCAAGTTCCGCTTTCAATCCACTCATAATCCTGTCTTGAAAATATATTATATATTACTGTTCCTTCACTGTCACTAGGTCAAAATCCTGGAATCCCCTCCCTAAGGGCGCTGCAGGTCAACCTACAGCACATGGACTGCAGTAGTTCAAGAAGGCAGCTCAAGAGCAACAGGCACTAAATGCTGGCCCAGCCAGCAATGCCTATGCCCCACGAGAGAATAAAATAAAAGACTCCTCAACCCTGCTCCACCATTTGATGAGCAAAGGATTCTGGAGTGTGTTTCAGGGACGAATCCTGAATGTCTCCACTTTAACATTCTCCTAGTATGGTGAAAGACACGCTTGCCATATGAATTTAACAAGCACATTCTGTCCACCATATTAGGCATATAAATGACATTTGAATACACCTAGTAAATAAATAAGGGTATACACTGATGTAGATAGTCAGAGGTGAGACAAATAAGCACCAATGAGTGTCCAAATAATGTGTGCTGAATTACACTGAAAAACTGAACAGCTTCCTATCCTATCGTTTACTCCATATCACATCCCCCTCCCTATTTTCTGCTTATAAACCGACATTTTCCTAGCTACCATCAGTTCTGAGGAAGGGTCACCAGACCTGAAATGTTAACTCTGATTTTCCCTCCACAGATGCTGCCAGACCTGTTGAGCTTTTCCACCAACTTCTGTTTTTGTTCCTAATGGAGCTAGTTGTTGATTTGACAATTCACAAAAGGAGCAGATTGACAAACCTTCAATGTTTCATTGTACACTGGATTTGTTGTGTTTGATCTGAGCTTAGTCTTGCGCTTGCTCTGGCGAGATTTGTCTGGGAGGAGGTAAGTCTTCACATAGCTGTTGGTGAAATAAAGAATTTGATTGGTTCTGATTTGGAATGTAAACACACTTGAAATTGAGCAAATTAGTGACTAGGGTTTGTCTCTGCTATTTGATCATTGCTTCTGGTGATTACCTCAGAAGCAATCTTTTCAAAAAGGAAGAAATAATACTTACGGATCAGTTCTCTGTTTCTTTTCATCTCCAATTGCTAAATTGCGACATTTCTTCACAACAATATTTAATGCCCCGCTTTTGTAGCTATAATTGATTGCAAGGAGGATTTCCCCACTGATGTTCACATTGCCATAGTCTCCTGTTTCACTGTAAACACTTATCATACTGTTTAAACTGGTCTACAAAGTAAAACAAATAAACAGTGTAAATTGATCAGATATTACGTGAGGGATTTATGATTATCATCCTCTCACCTAATGCTCAGACACACCAAGGACGAACTGAAATATCAGGAAAGTGTTATTACTATAACTATTTACTGAACGACTGAACTAGGCCAGACCACAATTCCAGTTTCACTCTTGCCTTTCACCATTGAGAGAACCCCAATTGATAGAACTAACTTGGGACTGGTAAATAATAAAGATTTTTTTTTTTTACAAGTTGATCATATGAATGGGGTGAAAATATTTACATGCATTTACTCATCCATCCCCAATGTTGCATTTCTCAATACAGTGAGCTACACACCACCAGACTGTTTTTTTGGGTTAAACACTGAAATAGTTATGAAACTACCCCAAAGTAAGTTTGATTTAGTGAGATAATCACTTCAATCAGAAGCAGGAGTATATAGATATATTTGTGCTTCTAAAAGAATGAGTCAAGTCCAGCCAGTTTGCTTATTAATGTAAACACAAAAGGTTACTCCCATTACAAAATTACCACCTGTAAAGTATAGTTATGCTATACTTTTAATGATAGATTTTGCTGGATATGACATAGCGTACTTAAACTTAAAAAGAACCATTTGATAGCATTCCACCAGAGAGACGACAAGTCAAACCTAAAGTCCATGAGGAATCAGTGCAAATTCTGGAAGCTGTTTAATAGAATGTAACAAACATCTGTTAGAGGTTTTAAGCTAGGATGGAGGTGGTGGTATTGGTGGGGTGTGGAAGAGGGTGAGTGCAGGTGATCATGGAATGTAGACATGTGTACAGATGGGGGTCCCCCTGGGCTATGTTGTATAACACAGTTAATACCTGAAGTTGTTAACTAATATGAGAGGCTCTTGCAATTAGAATATAAATGATTGTTCCTGGGAGGAGCTAAATAGTGTTCAAGTTTGGTTCCAGTTCAATCTTTGTAGCTAACAGTAATGTGCACTTAGTCTTGAGTATAGATTCAATTCTTACTAAGGACTCAAGTAATTTTTCAGTGTAATGCAAATAGCTATTAAGTACTAGGTAATAAACTCCTTTAGTCTGTTTATAAAGACTAAGGCTCCCTTCTGCTGATGACTTTGAGAGAGTAGCTTTCCTCATTTGGTATCAATAACTTAAACTAATGCCAATTAGTAGGATTAGTGGCAGCGAATCTACACAAGGCATCTGGGTTCCGATGGCCATGACTGCAGCAGGTAGCATTCAGTGGTACGGGTACCAGGTTTGTCACTGTGACATCTACTTTATTTACACAATAAACTTGATTAAGAAATGCAAAGCAAAGTGATCAAATGTGTGAATAACACATGGACAGTGGAAATGAAGACTGTAACTCAGAAATTAGAGTAACTGGGTAAAATTAGTCTGGTGAATAAACTTCAGATTTAACACAACCAAGAATGAAGTACTGCATGGAGGATATGAAATAAGCAACATACGGATGCTGGTGAACTAATTAAGTGGATTGAAAAGGGACCTTAGTCCCTTAGTAGACCCAACAATCAACAAGCAGAATTTATTGCCCTGCCTGTATAAGTACATGGTGGTAATTGAGCATTTAAATGTGGTCCCATCATTTAAAGGCAGTCTGTACCTGCTCAAGGAACCCAGCATCAGGAAGTGGGGACCTGTTGAGAATCGTCCTCTACTCTTGCTGAAGACTCCTCTCTTTGTGAATCTGTAATTCCCCTCGTCATTACACATCTAAGGCCTGGCTTCCCTCGGTCATCCTGGGCCTTGGGTGGCTGTATTCCTAGGAGCAGTGAATGCTGCTCTGGTTGCCACATAATGTAGTGATCCTTCCCAAATATAAAAGGTGATGCAAGCCTCTTCTGTTCACCTTGATGATTATATTAAAATCCACCCGATTGGAGTCATTATGAATTTATCCCCAGGTGTAATTGGGTGATAGTACAGCATTCCCCTCTCCCAGTTTTTATTTCCAGAGAATAATTGAAGAGATGCTTGGTGCATATTAGAATACTAAAATTACAATGTGGAATAGCAACCAACAAGAGAATCTTGAACTATGTAGTACTTTAAAAAGTAGACTGTAAGTCAGTCGAAGCAATGATCAAGCTGCACACACCTCAAATACTGCGTCCAGTTTTGTTTGCCATATGAGAGGTGATCTGTTCACACAGAGATAAAGCAATTGCTGATCTCTGAATCATGAGGAATGAGTGGAGAGACTTGAGCTTTTCAGCTTGGAGACCGGGACTGAAATGTCTTGGATAGAAAGTGGTATGGATAAAGCTAAATCTAGAAAATAATTTGTTGGAGCAGGACAAGAAAACATGGTTCAAACTGAGAAAAGGAACAAAAAGCACTGGTATCATGGAGTTCATCAAACAGCACGAGTTTAAGACTTCAAATAGAATTTGCAATCAAGCAGCGCAAGTGAATGCATTTCAGAAAGAATTAGGTACTGCACAGAGAGCTCCAGGATTCATCGGGTTAGAGTGTCCTCATCATTAATTAAGATCTTGTATGAAATTGTAACCATGTATGCCTGTAATGGATGACTTTTCTTTACTCACCTCCTACAGTGACTCTTTGATAAATCAATAATGTAAAACTGCTTGCAGTTCACATGGACAACTACACTTGCACGTATTAAATATTTGTAAGAACAGGATTTGAAAGTATCATCTACTAATTGAATGTAGTTAGATGAAAGCTATTAAACCATACATACTTTCTCCTTGGTATGATAAGCACAGGCTTAAGGATGTGAAGACTTATGAAAATTTCAAAAAATGTTAAAAGGCTTTAATTATCTTTAAAACTCTAGGTAATATGCATAATAAAACACAACAGTACAGATTGAGAGGATTTGCCCTGCACTGAGTTAATGAGATAAAACCCTGTTTCTCTTTATTGCATTCATAACAAGAGAATATATGCACTCACTATGTTTTGGAATTAAATGATGGGTCACTTTTACAGGCTGAGCAATTTTATGATAAGCTTATTGAGTCTTGGAATATTATCCATAAAACGGTTCATCTTTGAGAAATTAAACATTTCATCCAATTCAAGCAGAGTTTTTAATTCTCTAAGTTTTCATATCCATTGACAAGATGGTAATCTTTCAGGGCCTTTTTATTGGACTTGCCTTGTTTTACATTCACACTTTCAGATGTGGTAAAGGGCAGATCATCTGTCCCACCAGTATACTGTACAAACCATGAAGTTTAAAATTCTTCAATCCATCTAAATGTAAAATATGATTATTACAGCTACCTATTCTTATTCTTACTGTCTAAATTCTTGACAATGATTTGCTATTTTTTCCTCATGTTGCAGTAGTGAGTAGATCTGGCTTTCTCCCCTCTTTTATTTAGGAGAAATGGATTAAATTAGCAATTTAGCTAGTACATTAATAAACGGACATGGCAGGGCACCTCTCTCCAGCCAAATGCACATTTTGTGTCATGTGCTAACTCCAGTACACTTCTTATATCCTAGACAACATGTGACACGGTGTCACTAGTTGGAGCTCTGGGATTTGGAGCTTGAGCAGATCACGACAATGCATCCCTGAGGTTGATATATGCATCGATTGCACCTTTGAGGAGGCAGTCATCTCAAACCCTAAGAGTATGTAGGCCGAGGGGGAATGGCTAAACCACCACTAGGACCGAGCAAGTGATAAAGTCCCTTAGTGCATCCGGCTCTCTAACCAATAGTCATTGCTAATTAGTGATAAAAGCAAGGCCACAGCACCATGGGTGTGACAGTTGTATGGGAACAGCGTGGAGGAGAGCAAAAAAAAAGGACATGAAAGCAATATAGTGCTACAGATGTGATGCCAAGGTGCTATGTTGCCACCCTGGTGCCAGGGTCAGGGATGTCACAAGAAGCTTCAGGGCACTGAAGGGAAGGGTGAACAGCCAGAGGTTGTGGTGCGTAAATGTAACAATGACATAGGTAGAAAGAGTGACTTGGCTTTCAGCTTGTTTTGTTGAGAGCTGTAAAGAAATTTTAAAACAACCTCAAAAGATAGCAGTCTCCAGACTACTCTGAGTGCCAGTACTAGTGAGCGCAAAAACAAAAAGGCAGTGAAAATGAATACATGGCTGGGGAGATGTTGCAAGAGGGAAGGCTTTAGATTTTTGAAGATCTGGGACTAAATTTGTGGGAGGTGGGACCTATAAAAACCAGACCTCACTCCTGCTTTCACCTCAACAAGGCTGCAGGTGATATTGCAGCAATGAGGGAAAGGATGGAGTTAGCTTGACAGGGAATTAGCAACTAAGGCATATGCTGAGAAGGGAGGGAAAAAAAAAGACTGGAAATAAAATGTGGAAAATTAGTGAGCGTGGAAGGCAGATGAAACAAAAGCTAGAAAATAGAATCGAGTTGTTCGGTGATTTAACGGTATATGGTTTATTGCGAGGAGGCAATTGAATTAGGCAGGTGAACTGAAGGCACAAATAGATGCTTGAAAGTATGATAATTGTAACTATTACTGAAATTTGGTTTAAAGAACAGATGGAATGGTAGCTCTACATTTCTGGTTACTGGGCTGTCAGATAGGATTGATGGGGGAATTGAGGGCACAAAGGAGATGGGAAGTCACAATGTTGGTTAAAGAATGAATCATGGCTTTGAGGACGAATGATATTCGAGATGGATTATCATATATGAATTGATTAAAAAAAGGAATCTTGGAGTGCATATCCAGAGATCCCTTAAGATGAAAGAAAGTTGGTTAAGAAGGCAAACGGGATTTGCTTTTTAGAACTATAAGACACAAGTTAGATGACAGCTGGAGGTCTGCAGATGGTTCTGATCTCCACATTATGCATGTATTTCCCTCCATGAGAGCACAGTAGAAATTTACAAGGAAGCTACCAGTCATGGAGAATTTTAATTGAGGAAAGTTTTGATAAGCAGGGATTGTTTTCTCTGGAACAGGGGAGGATGAGGACATATTTACTGAGGTG